TAATTTTGAGTTGCATAATGGATTTAAACTTTTTGTCATCTATTTATTTGATTATATCATGTTGCTTAAGTTGTTGGTTTTGTAGTCTCATTTAACTTATAAATAGGTGATATGTTGTTTGAGTTTTTTTATATGTGTTTTAGTATTATTAACTAATGATGTTTTGCAATAAATCAATAATTATCAATTTTATCATGTTACTTTTTCATCTTCAACAACAAACCATGATATAATAATTATGATAAAGATTACATTTTTCACTAAACCATGATACAATAATTGTAATTGAAAATTTAAAATCACATTTTTCATTAAGGAATTTTAGTACATATAGATTTTTTGTCTTCACACTCGCTTATACTTTTTATCTTTTAATTAAGTAGTAATAGTAATATGTAATAATAATAATAATAAATTAGATCCTTTGCATCTCACCTTATGTATTAATATAAAAATAAATTATATTCAAATTGTTAATAAATTTTTTTAGTTTCTTTTCTTTAACGTTATTTTTTATTAATATTGAAATAATACAACAATTATCATTTATATTTATTATATTATTAATTACGTGACTCTTAATCTTTCATTATCAACTATAATATAATAAGTTTCATTGAAGTTACAATTTTTTACTATTTAGATAAATCATAATTAAGTCTTTGTATATTCACTACCTTTTATATTTCATGCTTTCATACATCTATCTTTCTTTAAAAATGTCAAAAGAGAAGTTACATAACTTTGAAATGGTAAAAATAAATTTTGGTCATTTAAGATCATTAGTAGTGCAATAATAATAATTATTGTGTATTATAATCTTATAATTTGTTTCTATTTTAATAAAAATCAATTTCTATTCCCCTATCTTTAATGTAATACATTATATGTAATTAAAAATAATAACGATAAAATAATTAAGAAAAATATAAGAAATTGAAGAAAAAGAAAAAAAATTGAACTAAGTCATTAATCACATTTCTTATATATTTATGTAAAAATAATATTTTTTCTTTTTTAACTATTTTTCTATCATTAAAATAAAATGACAAAATTAATGTTTAATTAATTCCTTTTTTCTTATAGATTTATTCTCTTAATATTTTGAAAAAACTATATTAATTATCACTATTTTTATAAAAGATTTAAAAAGAACTATAAATTGAAAATTTTAACACAGATAATATATATATACCTAAAAACAAAATACGTACTGCTTTTAAAAATAAAAATAAAACTTTTTTTGCACTTTCCATTTGCTTTTGAGTTGTTTATGGACTATTATATTTTGTTGCCTTTCTAGATCCAAAGTTTTGCTCCACATCTTACCCCTAAGTTTTTATAATAGCATTGCATGATATTCGAGCTTCATTAATTTTGGTGCATTTCCCTCTTTTAAAATCTTCAATGTTAAAGAATATGATGAAAAATCAACCTAAAATTTGTGAAAAAAAAAAACAAATATTAGCTAGGCACCTCAAGTATATATTAAAATCAAATGAAACTATACTTAGAAGTGATACAAATATATCTAAACTAAATTAAATTAGATATTAGTTTATTGACTTGATTTTAGATGAATAACGTAAGTGAGAGCCTCTACAAATTAGAAAATACTATCAACGAAGAAATTACTTTTGGGGCTTGAAGATTTTAGTTTTGTAGAATGAGAGCTTCCATGAATTAGAAATACCATCAATCAAGACACTTACTTTTGAGGTTTTGAGAGTTTAGTTTTGTAGTCTTTTATAGGCTTAGAGAAAGAAGATTAAGAGTTATAGTTGTTACAAATACTTTATTTAAATTTAATACTAAAATTTAAATATAATAAATATAATAATATTTTAATAAATAATAGTTGAATATGAAAAGTTTTATATGTGTTAAAACATAATTTGGTTTTACATGAAAAGGAAAACAAAAAGGCGCATCTCTTTCTCTTCTTTTTTCTGATTTAACATGTACATAATAGAAATTAATAATGAAAGAAAAGAAAAGAAAATGATAAGGTAAAATAATTATATATAATAATTATATAATAAACAATAAATAAATATATATTATTACATTATAAATTATTATATATAAATGCATACCCTATTTAATGCATAGGGTAGCATTTTATATATATATAAGATAAGATAAGATAAGATAAGATAGATA